AGAACGGGAATGCCGAATCAGGTGTTGGACTATTTATTACTTTTTATAATCTGTTACTGTGGCCATAATGCTTGGTCAGACAGAGCTCCTACTCAGCGAGTGAAAGTGATTATGACTCCATGCCTCAGCAATTTCAAATTAAACGCACGGCAAAAACTTGTGAATTGTCTCAGACAACCATGGATTAATGTTCCCGTCTTGCAATATACATCGGATTATACATTTTACACTAACTGCAGTATTATTTTATGAACCACGATAGAAGCTGTGGGTCTGAATTACCTGCTGACCAGTCAGAAGAAATGTCCAAAATACTTTTAGTATCAACAATACCCTTCAGATGTGGAAGTATTCGGTTGTCACAAATCAAATTCACTGTGTAGAACGCCAGGATCGACAAACAGTTGTGCTCTTCAGACACAACTTTGATGAAGTATGATAAAAATACTGTTTCAGATAGATTTTACATGAAAAATAATCCCAAAGTGTTCAAAAACATTGGATCAGAGGTGATGGATGGATTATTTTACTAGTGTTTAACTGAAGATGTGTGATTACTATCCACGCTAATATAAAACATATTTACATATTTGGGATTTCCCAGAATTCTTAGTCACTAATGCAAGCATGGACTGCAGTTGCAACTGCATCACAGCCTTCAGCGCTCGTGAATTATGAAACGACATCTCCCTCAAAAGTGAGTTTGAGTAAAACAAGTATTTTATATAAAGCAGATGCTGTATAAGTAAAATACTAAATAATATAACACTAATTAAATACTTGCAAAATAATCAAACTGGCTAAAATAGACAAAAGGCCCAACTAAACAAAAACGTTGGAGAGGACACTACACTACTCACTCGTATGGTAGCAGCAGTTCTGAGAGATAAGAAGGCCCAAGAACATTAAAACACTTAAAAAACATTAAAAGAACCGTAAAGGGTAAATCACACCCTAGTAGAGTCTTAATTCACCCACACTGCCGGTTAGAAAAATGCACCTAAAGGAGGCATCCCTGGTAGACCGAGTGAACGACACTGAGGCAGTGATTGACATCACCCCCTCACCCCCCGCGCGTTCTTGGAGTTTCTCATCCAGAGTCGTTAATGAGCGTGTGTGCACAAGCACACACTGTCATGGTCTGTGCTGAGTTAACCCCTGTGTTGTGCTGAGTCGCTCTGTGTGCAGGTGGGTGTGTCCGGAGAGCAGCTGCTGTCGATCTGCTCACCAGTGGTCAGGTGATTTAAGGAGCGCCGGGACAAACGGATGATCAGTGCCGGATGATTATTCAGTATTGGGTAGTATTCTTGCCAGCTCCTTGCCTGTATCTAAGTTCGTTTTTTATCTCCTGTGTGCCTCGCCTCCCTGTACTTACCTGTCCTGTTTCCTCCGACCTCCTCAGGAACTTCTCCTCCACCAGCCAGCTTTCATCATCAAGAAATAGACTCATCTGATTCAAACCCTGCCTGCCAGCCCCGTCGCTCGCCCCTGACCGCCTGCTCTCAAACCCCCACATGCCAACCTGGACATCTCGGACTCTGGTGCTCAGCTCCCAGCCATTACTTCTGACTCTCACTCGACCCGCTCAGCCAGCCTTGACTTACCCTCCTCTCTAAGCCTTCTCCAACAATCTGGAAACCGTAAGCAGAATCTCATATCTCTTTAAGCTGCCGATCTGCAATTACTCACTCCTGTCTCTGCTTTAGAACTCCACTGGAACCACCCGAACTCCGACCTTCATCTTCACCTCCACCGTACAAAAATAAACCTTTTTTACTTACCTTCTGCCTTTGTGTGTGATTCTGCATGCCGTGGGTCAAAAAACTGCAACCCAACATGACACACACACACACACAGCAGACTCACCGCTCAGTAGAACGAGCAAACAGAGAAACTGCAGCAGGCTGGAGGAGGCGAGCGGCTCTGAGCTGCATCGTTTCAAATTGGCTCGTCACAAACAGAGACAACATTATAAAGGTAGCAGAGGTAGCCTTTCATCATTAGAAATGCCTGGTATCTTACACACATGAGCTCTTTCATTTCACTTCAACCCTTTTTGGAAGTGGGTTGTGGATGGATTAAATGCACATCTGATGATCCATAATAGCAGATGGAAGGATTTTAGTGAATCCCTGCAAACATTTACAAAATAAGTGTAATTATATTCATAACATTTAAAGAGGAAATTGAAAGCTTTCCAAACTAATTAGCAGGCTAGATGTTTGCAAATAGTCGGTGTGAGACATCTAATTGCCACAATACACTCCAAACTACTTTCCAGTGTGTCTGGATCACCAGCAGCTCATGTGGTGAAGCCAGGCCTTTTATTTGTTGCAGGGAGGAAATCTGATCTACAAAGAACATCCGTGTGAACACAAGAGACCCGTCTAGAAGCTCAGTAATGTTACATTAATGTTCCACTTCATGGCCCCCAGCTCCCTATTTTATTAGAACACCAAACAAATCCCCCCTCCCGAACTGAGAGCAAAACACACACAGCAAGACAAACAGAACCTCCCCTTTGCCGAGGTGAAGCTCGCAGCAGCAAAGACTAACCGGAAAGTCCATAAAGACATCAGATTTATTGCCGATTTTCTGCTTGATCTCCGTTTAACGGCAAGGAATGTAAAGATTCAAAGAGGCCAACTTTTAGGAGCAAATGACTTGCTCTAGCTGAATCCTTTATGTGTACGCTCAAAGCTGAATTTAAAGACCATTAACTTTCTGTTGGCGCAGAACTTTGAGAGATTTCTGATGGCAGCGTGAGGATCTGAGATGAACACATTTATCTGAGCTGGTGGCTCTTTTTCAGTCATGTTTAGGAGATTGTGTCTCTTGTCCTTTTAAATCCCAGAATAATTAGAACATCTGAAGGACAAGTCAGAAATGAGAAGCCTCGGTTTAGTGAAAGAAATATTTTAATAATAAACAAAAATCTATTGTGGAGAATGTGGACTTTAATCATTAAGATAGATTAAGTAAAAAGGAGAAGATGAAGAACATTAAATCATTTCACCATCTTAGTAGATTCAGACGCTGACTGTTAGCTTTACTTTCACTAAATGTTTGGCAGACTGTGTTTCACTTTCAGAATTCCATATGGAAGGACTGGAGCATGTCCAAAAATGGATCAGGAGAATGTTTACTGTATAGGAAATGAAGATATTTGCTTCCAGTGAACTCCCTCTGGCTGTCTGGTTTTACCCCAACGTCTCTCCAGCATCTCAACCATAAAACAGCAAGTCACATAGGAGGACAGGAAAAGTGCAAAATGTCAGTAATGACAAATGGGAAAGAATTGAGATTTAACTTTAGGAGACTGTTTTTGTTTCTTTCCATTTTGCGCTACGTCTGCTATTCCAAGAAAAAGTAAATTTGACCCATAAGGGGGCTTCCTCTAAACTAGACCTCTTGCAAGCTGCACAAGATCGTTTACTTCTCTTAAATTTTCTCCAGACACAAAATAAAATGTTTTTTTAAAAGCAGTAATTCAATTCAAAGAAACTTTATTAATCCCAGAGGGAAATTGATTTGTTGGTTACCAATTTTCACTTGTGGGTTTTTGTTCTTAAGCTTTCTTTTATTTGCCTTCAAGATTCGATTTCATTTCAGGAACTGACCAAGTTAGATACATCCCAGTTGAAAGTCAGAATACCATTTGGGAAATGTTGTTCTAATACAAGCCAGACTGAAAATGATTATTAATATAAGCAGGTAACAGCATCATGTCGCCATCTTTTCAAACTTTTCAGAATCCCCTACAGGGAGGTGACCACCACCTCAGCCGACTCCTTTGGTGAGGAGGAGCACCAGTCAAATTAATAAAATCACATGTTGGGAAAAGTGGAGCAAAGACAGACACTGCCTGGATAAATGCTCATTCAAGTTTGAGACAACAGTTTCTGCTGACGGTGAAGAAAATAGAGCCAAATAGTTTAAGCATGCTTGTATCATTTTATTTGATAGGCACTATAAACTCTTTGAACTTATGCAAATCGTCCATCTTCTTAAATGCTTCATTGGCACAAAGCGTGCACCTTATGGAGGACAATAATGTCATGTCCTTACAGATTGTCGCTCTCCATCTGAAGCACATGAGGGGGGTAGAGAGTGAAGTGTGCAGAAAGACATAGAACAATAACCCCTCCACCACCCACAGTGTACCCCTGAAGCACGTCAGAGGTAGCCAGGCATGAGCCGAGGTGCACAGCGGAGTAAAGAAAACACTTCTCAGGGACACAGCCAGGGGACAGCGGCTTGGGACACACGACCATCCCGGAACACACTGCAGGGTCCCTGTCAGGTACTTGGCTCCACACACCAGTGCATCTGCTGGAGATACAACTGTGAGCTGAAGGAGAAGTTGGGGGGGGGGGGGGGGGGGGGGGGGGGGGTCAGCTCAGCTGTTTGTGAAGAGGAGAAAAGTGTTTGTGTGGAGCTGTGTTGCATGCATGTTAAACTGATGAGTGGGCAGCGATGACTCTGAGCTCAGTAAGCGGGCTGTGTTCGGTCGTAATGCTGCTTGATAGAAGCCTGGAAGAAAATTAGTTTTTCTTTTCATATCTCTTTTATTTGAAAATTTCTAAAGTTTTGTTCACTCTGATTGTTTTTTGATTGTAAAATACATATGTTGTTGGTGCCTCCACCTGACTCTGCCCTGTCAGGAGTCCTTGTAATAGTAGGCAGGAGCCTGCACGTTTCAGTCTGTCTGCAGCAGCCCAGTGGTGCTGAGCAGGGGCGGGTTCCAGAGCACATTTGAAGGCATGTGAACGGCGCATTTGATGATGATGATGATGATGATGATGATGATGATGATGATGATGATGATCACTGGCTCTGGAGGCTGTAGAACGAAGTGGCGCTGTCCGTGGTGCTGATCAAACGCTCGCTGGCTCTGTGGAGCGAAGCGGCGCTGTCCATGGTGCTGAAGCGTTGATCAGACGCTTGCTGGCTTTGTGGAGCGGAGCGGCGCTGTCCGTGGTGCTGAAGCGTTGAGCAGACGCTCGCTGGATTCGAAGACAAACGGGACTGTTGAATGTGGAGTGGCGCTGTCCGAGGTGCTGATCAGACGCCCCTTTTTCCCAGTCGCAGATGACTCGCATGAACTAACGCGAATGCCGAGCAGCAGCAGCACCCACCGGCCTGAGTAAATGGGACCGCACGTCGTTCGAGCTTTTGAAACATGGAGAGAATTTTTCTGCTCGTTGTTAGCTGCCTTGGTGTCTCTCGAGTCCTGGCGGGTAAGTTTGTGTTTAGGGATGTCTTAAACCTTAATTTTACATGTTCTCATTTACAATTATGACCTGGCCACGTCTGAACACCTGAGTAGTCATTTTCTGCCTGATTGAACTCACCATGCAGGTCTTTCAATCGGTGATTTCCAAGCGTGTGTGTGTGCGTGTGCGTGTGCGTGTGCGTGTGTGTGTGTGTGTGTGTGTGTGTGTGTGTGTGTGTGTGTGTGTGTGTGTGTGTGAGAACCAAACAGGCAAAAATCTCTAATCTGTAAGAAAACAGCAGAAAAACAGCATTTTGAGGGAAAATTACTCAAATAATGATCATCACCAGACCTTCTGAATCCAAGTGGGACTCTAATGAACTCCCACTGGTCAGCTGAGGAGTGACAGCTGCCTCTGTCTCATCACAGATTTACAGAAACACCACTGATGCATGCTGAGTGCCAGTTTTCTCAACATGGGCATGCATTCATAAAACATGTTTCTCAGAGCTCCAGACTGTTCACAGAGATGAAGAGCCACCCTTCTTTCCAGACACACTCCTGCCATCATCATGCACCTTTGCTTGGCTCAGCAACCTCCCACTTCACAGCCTTACCGCAGATGATGGATCACCGTGCTGCTGCTCTCACACACACACTTACACCATTTATTGACACAAGTAATTTAATTGCACACTCTTTCTCCATCTTGTGTTATTTCTCTCGCACCCACAACAGTCATCTTTTTTGATTCTTTAAGAGTGTGTTGCTGAAATCAGCATTTCTTTTTTTGTAAGGAATACAAATTAATTTTATGAGCTTTAATATAAAAAGTTAAAACAATTTTGGAAAAATCATCAACTAAATAATTTCAATGGGACATTTATAAACGATAAATGATCACTTTGCTGACACAGTTGCACTGATATATTAATTATTTTATTATCTTACAAATAATATATGGGGGACACTTGAATGATTCAAAGAATACAAAAACCCTTCATAACTGCAGGTGTAAATCCTTTATTGACATGTTACTATGCAAATCCCGCACCAAAGCCAACAGTTGTTATCAATGTTGACTTGTTTATCTGTTATTTTGCCTGCATTATCATGCATATGCTGAATAATATAAGAGGTTTAATTCTAGGGGTGTGATCATATGGTTAAAACTGAAACAAAGTGGTTTTCAGCTGCAGGATATCTCCAGGTGAATGACGGAGAAGTTACAGACTGGAAAGAATACATTTAAATGCCCAGATTAGAGTTTAATGACCTAAATCATTATGTTGCCTCTAAATTAGTAAATGTAGGGTTGCAACGTTAACCTCTAAGCTGAAACATGAAAGAAAAATGTTTAACTTTCAGAGGAGAATTTAGGAAATCAATGGTCTGGACTGATTTTGTGGTATCTTAGGTACTGTGAGGGTTGTGGAAATATATATATGTTCTCTAAATATCAAAGATTCTGAGAGGAGATTTGGAGACCAATTTATTACTGGATTGAAGAAATGTGGATTCCATTAAGAGGATGAGCAATTTTTCTGGTGGTCTTAATGTTATGGCTCGTGACAGCTTGCTGATGTTTGTGATCCTAGAACCTAAATCTGGTTTCTTCTCTTTCCGTTAGACAGGTCTCATGCATCGTCTTTATTTTGTTTACAATTATCATTGTTTGAAAACTTTACTTTAATAAGTTGCTCACTAACTCTGACGTAATCCATGGCCAAGAAGAAAAGGATCCAAACCCCAAGGAGATGTTTTTACTAACGTGGTCAAAACAGACGGTTCAGCACGAGCAGCATGGAAGAATAAAAGCAGACTGGACTGGAGCTCATTTCAAAACTGGGCTAATGGGAGAGCTGGGAATACAAAAAGAAAAAAAAAAGTACAAATCTGGCTAGCAACAACAAAAAAAAAGATGGGATTGCATTCACTAATAAACCGAAACCAGGCAGGTGAGACAAATAAGAACCAGGTGTGGTGGGAGAGAGGAAAGCAAAAGCAATCAACAAGCAGGAAATGAGCTAAATGTGTGTGTGTGTGTGTGTGTGCGTGCGTGTGTGTGTGTGTGTGTGTGTGTGTGTGTGTGTGTGCGTGCGTGCGTGCGTGCGTGCGTACGTGCGTCTGCGTGTGAGTAACAACCAAATGATCTCATTAAAAACAAACAGTGGACCATGGAGGATCAAACCATTTAAAGTATCGATAAACAGGACTAAAGCTGTGCAGGAGTGAAAATTGGGCTCATTCCTATAATTTCCCACAATCTCATCAACATATGTGACACAATATCTGCTACATGTTTGTTTTATTTATGAAACTCGTGCATTTGAAGATGTAGCATTTCCTGTGAAAATTAATTATTTATTTACTGTACCTAAATCTCTGCTAAATTTAACGTATTTCTTCTAAAAAATGTCAAAAAGTGACAAACTGCAACATCTGAAGGATGACGTTTCATTTAGCGGGACAAGATTGAATTCTGGAATGCTCTAAATAAATCAGAAATCTTTCATTCAGAGACAACCCGATTGTTTTTGCTGTCTGGAGCTTTACTTTGAGGATTTGGACACCAGCAAGAGCAAAACCAGAAATGGAGTGGAGAAGTAAGGTTTGATGGAACCCTAAATTAACACCATGGTGATGCTTCTAACAGTGACTCTGAAACAGCAGTTTGATCCACGGGATAAGTGATGTTTGAGTTTCAAATGTAAATAAGCTTAACGAAAACATAACTCCTTACAGGTGTGGCTTTTCCTGAACGTCCTGAGTTTCTAGAGCACAAGATTACAACTCAGTCAACAAACAAAGTAAAAACAAACAGTTTATTCTTATCTGAGGTCATTTTTTTGTGCTACGAGCCCCAAAAATGTTGGAAAATTTTGGCAGTCACCTGCCAAGTGATAAACCCTCTGCCAAGTGGGAGCAGTTCATTATGTGTCAAACGCTGAGGCGTCAAGCATCTGCAGGGAAGTTATAAGCTGCAGCTCCATGAGACGGATTGGAAAAACAACTCGTCTTCTATCTCTCGCTCTAAACAGTCGTGCAGATGTCCAATCAGAAATGTCCTGCTCTTTTTGTAACTGATTGTCACAAATACTCATTTTATGGATGCATTTGTGCATTTTGCAAAATTATTCGTCTGAAAAATGAAATCAGGTCTCAGATGTTCTTGTTTCTACTCAATCAGATTCACCGTGCTCAAAATGATTGTTGTTGGACAGAGAGGTGCACTACTGATGTCCGAGGACGAGCAGGACTCCTCGTGTTCAGTCACAAATCAGAAACAGGTTTTTATGTTGTGTTTATTTTTATTTATTCGTTTTTTTTTTTTTTTTGTGGTGCATTTTTAGGAGTCTAAATGAAACCGTGCTGGCCTGGTTCTGTTCAAATCTGTTTCCTTTCAACCTGCTGTGTTTCTGCAGCAGCGTCCTGATTCCAGTCTTGAATCGTCTTTGTGAACCCTCAGATGTGTGGGACACATTTATTTGTGCTGCGAGCAGTTTACTGACTGTGTTCTAATGAGGTTCGGTCCATTTGTTGTTGAAAATGTGGCCTAAAATCACACATTTTTGTAAACTCTAAACGCTACCAGGGGATATAAAACCACAACGTGTCAGTAATACTCAGACCCTGTCACATATTAATCATCGCCTGACAAGTCGATTTGAAGAAGAGGAGGTGATTTTTTTCTCACGGTCTTCCTGCAGCAGGAGTGCAGCTAAGTGTTTGCATCAACCTGCTGCTGTTCTTTCCTCTGGCACTGTGCAACTCCCTCCTTCACTTCATAAAGCCTCTTTGAGCTCCCCGAGAGCTCGCCGGTGGCTTAGTAAGCAGCAGATGAAAAGAGCAGCGGCCTTGTGGTTAACAGCGAGGGCTCAAATGTGTTAAATCTTTAAGATGTGGCAGCAGCACTGGGCTTCAGCCCAGCAGCTGGAGCAAAAGCAAAAACAAAGAAGGTCATTTAGACGGATCTAGTTTTGTTTTGCTTGAAGATGCTCATTCAGGAATATCTGGTTGTCCCTTTTTTCCTCTTTTCTGGGTCAAGTTGGGAATCAGAGGACAGAATGGTGCCATCATGTGGACATGAGGCCTGTGGGAGAGAGAGGCGGCGATACAAACAGACTGACGTGGCAGCGACGCTGCGCTGACGCGGTCGGTCCTGTCTGGTGTTCTGGTGGAGTCTGAGCTGTCATTAGGAGGGAAATTAATAGCATGAATGTGAAGGTGTTTGCTTTCACCTTCAGAGCAGTGAGCAGTGATTAATTTCACCATCTGTCTCCTGTCAGACGAAGACAGAAACTCCATTCACAGTAAACTCCAACCCTTTGATTAGGCTGTCAGCTCTGCATTGATGTCATTGGGTGGCTTGTTTGTGCAAATCAAGCTAAATAAGGAAAATCATTTCATTTAATTGTCCCTTCACATTTAATAACACTGGGCGGGTTAAATGTTCAGTCTGAAAAACTGTTGAATGTTTTCCTAATTGTGACAGCGTATTTACGACGGCAGATTTATTACAGCTGAAAAACATTTCATTTGAAAAATGAGTACCGGTGGTTTTAAATCTCATTGCAGATGTGTTTTTTTTCTGTATTTGTCCAAATCTGAGCTGCTGTGTGCCGTTTGGAGCAGATGGACCTGCAGAATTCACTCCTTTGATGAAACAACACCATCTGATTTGGGTTTTTTAGAAGAAAATTACTTTTTAGTTTATGAAATTAGTTTTGAGTCCATTCATTTTTGAAATACATAGATTCTGATGCTCTATTTTGTCCCTAGCTGTTAAAAGTTCATGTTTCATGCAGATCTTATGAAAATGATTATCATCACTTTTCACAAAGTCCTTTTGGGTTCAGAATATTTGTTTGATCAACTTTATTATTATTATTATTATTGCATTAGTTAATAATTGTGCAGGTAAACCTTCTATTTAGCTTCAGTTTTTGTCCAGTTTCTATTTTGTACATGAAATGAAGGTGCAGTAAAAATGTAAATTATCGTCTCTCCCAGTTATTTTATGAA